AAGACTAATAGAGAAAAGACATGTTTATAAGAATAATGTTTTGTATGCAATGTCTGTACAGAACCTCACGGAGGGATTGCGCCCAGAATTTGGAGCCATTCGACAGTTAAGGCATGGGTTGAGGAAAAAGTGGAATTGGTTTGTGTGGCTCAGGCCTGGCCTTCACCACAATACAGGTTTTGTCATCCTTTGCAATATTTATTAACACAAACGTATCAATCATTTAGAGATTTTTTCTCCTAAAAATACATTTCCTTTTCTCAATTCTAACATTCTTTACGATATTTTTTCTTCTTCTCCAATACAATGCTTTCAATACTATTGGCTTTGATTATCAATATGTGTCACATCTATGAGCAGATGGTATAAAGAAGATGAAAGCGGTCTCATATCGCCAATTGTGTCGACACAACACATGCATATATACGACTCGCTTTTGATTATAAATCAGGTTATGTCTCATCATTCAGGCAAATGGATTTGTGCCGCAAATAACAGCGTCGGCGAAGAGAAAGTGAGCCTCAAATTGATGGTCATCTCCCCTATTGTTGTTCATATAGAGCCGGAATTATTAGTGGCCGACATCGGCAAAGGGGCCGCTTTTAACTGCAGTTTCACCGGCAATCCAATCAACTATCATGTGATATGGCTTCGAGACGGCCGTCCGCTGACCACCGATTCATTCAGTGGTGCCCTCAATGACGGCCGAATCCGTCTCATCCAACCCACACTTCTCTCCATCAGAAATGTCATCAGAGAGGACGCAGGTCTGCAAACCATTACTTTTTATCGTGTTTTATACTCTGTTTTCAGTTGTTATTCAATTATAAAAGTTATATTTTTTCAAACATTTTCTGTCAAATCATTATCATTATTATTAGTGAGGCTTATATTTCTAATATACCCTTAAAGCATACTTTTCTGCTCTACGCGAGACTATTGATTCAGATATCCTGTACTGTAAACCAAAACTCTTGTAAAATATAATTTGTGCAAAACTCTGTTGTTATAGGATTTGCATTTTCCAAACCGATGTTAGGATACAAATAGCGCACAAAGTTTGTAATTAAATCTCAATTTACATAAATATACATAATTTATATCTACAAACATGTGTTTTATGAAGAATTTGAATATATTTTATGCATCTATTATATACTGATTCCTGTAATTAGCGTCAGTTTTCTCTTACTTTAATTTTAGTCCATATTTTTAACGTATATTATGTTATATTTAGGTTTAGCTTTGATTGTGTTTTAGATAAATATGACAATTCATTTAATGCATGCATAAAATTAATTCCGCGGCTCATCTCTAGTAAACTTTAAATTCAATGCATATCTGCAACCATAATATGTCTTACATTTATATCGTATACAACTATCAAATATTTTATTCATTTTGTTGTTTTTATGTTAACACAAGAGTAATGGATATTTAAATTACTTCACAAAACTTTTGGATTCAATATTGATGTTACGATCTTTTAGACAAAATACTTAATATATTTAAATCTTTAATTAATGCGTGAAAGAAAACCAAAGCTTGAATGAGTTTTAGTGTAAAAATGGTAGTTTTTATTGAAATAAGGTTTTTACAATCGATTATCCATTAGTTGTGCTCTTTTTGTTCAATACTTATTGTTGTCATAGATTTGAAGAGAGAATCACTTAAATGAAAATTTCAATTCTTGTGCTGAACAATAGGTTGCTATCAATGTGTTGTGCAATCGGAATACGAGTGCTCGCAGGCGAGCTCTCAACTCAAATTAGGTGATAGTCCGCCGATTATGTTGGAAACATTCAAAGATCAACTCATTGTCGAGTCGGCACAGTCTATGTCATTACGATGTGCCGCATCCGCATCACCACTGCCTCAGATTAAATGGTATTTGGATGACCACACCGTCAACGCTGTGACCAACAGATATCGTATCGGAGATTATGTCACACATGGAGGACAAGTGATTAGTTTTGTCAATATTAGTTCCGCACGTGTTATAGACGGCGGGGAAGTAAGTCTATTAACACTTTTGCTCTTTTATTAGTTTTATATTATTTAATATTTTCTTGAAATTGTTTTTATAATTTTTCTGTGTTTCCATTAAATAATGCAAATCTATTTCAATGTTTCTTTGTTAGCAAAACAATTGCACAAAACTATATTATTAGATGCAAACAATTTTCAATTTATATAACAAATTGGATTTTAAAACCTAATTTATATTCACTTTTATACTAAATATCCCCAAAGTTTCCATTTCTCTCCCTTTCACTTATTCATGCATTTTTCATCCATTCTCTTACTATCGCTCGATATTAAGTTTTTTGCACTTATTATCTCAACTATTAATTGCTTAAAAATAGTTTAAATATTTAATAATGTGTCTTTTGTAAGAAACAGACATTTAATTTATTATTAATTATAAATAGCGTAGAGAAAGAAAGACAAAGAGAGTGTATGTGTGGTGCAGTTATAATGCAATTAATTTGTCTGATTTGTGATATGGTTTATGTTTGTGAAGTATCGATGTGTGGCGATTAATGATGCGGGTCAGGCCTCATATACAGGCAGAGTGAATGTGTTGGGAACGCCAGCACTTCGCACATCATGGCTGTCATCCTCATCGATGTCACCAAATATTAATAACACACTGACTGTCGTTTCCGGCCGTTCAGTATCAGTGCGCTGTCCAGTAATCGCATATCCAATTGAATCGCTTGTATGGCAACACAATTCAAATACATTACCAGTCAATCATCGGCAGAAAATTGAGCCAATCATTAATGGTGTCGGCGGTAAACTACATATCAATAATGTTCATCGCAATAATGACCAAGGAGAGTATTGGTGTATTGTCAAGGTAGGCCCTTTTTGCCCGTTACGAGCAACCCATATCATTCATTTATTTACTTATGATTAGTTACTATTTATTATTGAGCAAACCATAATTATTTGATCAGAAAGAAATGCAATACACAAACAATAATAACCCCAAATACCAAACACTGTGTTGTGATAATCAGGAGTTATCAGGATATTTGAGAAACTATTTCTGTTTGCTTTTTATACAATACTAGACAAATGCAAGTCTGAATAATTTGTGATTATTTTCCAATACTGCGAGAATACTATACGATTTGATATAATATAAGTTGAATAAATCGTTACATTCGTGTCAGGAATAAAGCGTCCAAATTATATCTGATTGAAAGCAACAAATTCTGTGTTATAATAGTATAGACATTGAGAGAGAGAGAGAGAGAGAGAGAGAGAGAGAGAGAGAGAGGAGCGGATGTGAGGAACACAACAATATATTTCGTGGAATACATTGCCAACGAATTGCTGTCTTATATCTTAAGGGATTAGACTTCTTATGAATTTGTTTTCTTTTCGACACAGAAAAAGGACACAAAAACTCGATATAACAATAAAATAATAACTTAAATAAATGTTTTTATACATTAACTCACACATAGTATGGCATAAAATTGCATACATTTTGCCAAACATGTAAGAAAAAGATCTACACTTTAAAGTTTTTATGTTTAGACATAAACACTATTCTCAGTGACAATACTGTAATTACAATAATACTTATATCGTTAGTATAGGAATTGGAAATTGAGTTTGTTTTGCGTTAAAATAATAAAAACAAAGTTATTTAAATAAAATCAGAATTTTGTGCAGCGAATGGATATTAGTTTCTCTCGGAAACGAAAAACAAAGTTTTTGCTGTAGTTTTGAAAATAAGTTGTTATGCAAAGAGTCGTTTGAATGGCGAACCGGTAATTAGTTTAATGCGATTAATTAAAATTGGTATTTTTGCAAATTATTTTCTTAATTATAATTCGCCCCAAAATTGAGGCCAACTTTTATTAGATGTTTGTATTAGATTAGAGTTTGGTATTCATTAGTGCTTTCAATAGATTAATTGTGTTAAGATATCAATGACATCAGTATTTTTTGTCTCTTCTTGTGTTATGTTTGTTATGTAAGGGCTCTAATGGTAAGGCAGTAAAGGGAAGCATACATTTGATTGTAAAAGTCGCGCCTTTAATTGATGGACAGCCACTATCGGAGACGACTAGAGCTAATCAAGGGATGAAAGTTAAGTTAATGTGCTCTATATTAGAAGGCGATCCTCCCATACAAATCAAATGGTATAGAGAGGACAGCAAAGCACCCGTAGTCTCAAGTCATACCATTTCCCTTCAAAATTCTGAGGACTATTCACTTCTCACATTCAAGAGCGTAGAGCACAAAGATATGGGCCAATGGTATGCATCACTAAATGCACATACAATGCAGTTATTAATTTGGCTATGAGTTTGTGTATTGATGTGATTATTATCTAATTATAGGACATGTAAGGCTTGGAATGATGTGGAGTCAGTAAATCGGAGTACATATCTCATAGTGAATGTGTCCCCCGGTTGGAAACAAGAGCCCAAAAACACTTACGTTGTATTGGGCGCTGACTGTGTGATTGATTGTTGGGCTGATGGCTCTCCGATACCCAAAATCATATGGAAAAAGTCGATCGCCACCAACGCTGGCACCGACTCGTCCGCTGATGCGGAACATCCGTCCGACTTTAGGGAAGTGGTCTCATCCTATAGACATCAAGTCTACCAAAACGGCACTTTTGTCTTACAAGAGGCCGATAAGTCTGACGCCGGCTTCTATATGTGCCAAGTATTGCATTCATTAATTACTTCTCCCATACAATCAATCTTTTATTCCTATAATTGTTTTATTGTAAAAACATTTTTAATGTAAACTTATTGTAATGAGAAAAATATATTTACTTAATTAGATATCTAACGGAATCGGTGCTGGTTTGAGCAAGGTGATTCAATTGGTTGTGCAATCGCCGCCTTATTTTGACATCAAATTCATAAGTAATAGTGCGGTTAAGAGCGAAACAGCTGTACTTCAATGCGAAGCACAGGGAGATCCAGTGCTAAGAGTCGAGTGGCAGAAAGATAAACAACAAATCAGTTCATTAATTGACAAAAGATATTCAATAAAACAGGAAATAATATCTCCGCAGAAAGTGATCTCATATTTAGAGATATCATCGACTGTTAGACACGATTCGGCTCTCTATACGTGTTTGGTATCCAACGATTTTGGCACCGATGACACCAACATTCAGCTTATAGTACAGGGTATGCCTATTACTCTTACATTACTCCTATCATTCACTTTATTTCGCTACTAAAGCAATAATACATTATATATTTAGTTATCGATTGAAAGCGGAATTTTTACTTTTACTTAATTATAAATTAATGGCGCGAATAATCATATAATTGACTGCATTTTAACTTTCTTTTCATTACAACGAAAAATTGTTGTTTGAAAACAAAAACTTGATTTTATGCATCAATTGCTTTCAATTTAGACTTTATTTATTTTTAAAGTTATTTTAATTATTTATTGAAACAGAGGTTCCGGAGCCTCCCTATGGACTGTCGGTCACTGAGATCTCAAGCCGTAGCGCAACCATCGCTTGGAAGTCGTCTTTTTCAGGCAACAGCGCTATCATTAGATATCTACTCGAATATCGAACCAATTGTAGCGATGATCAGCTCTGGCAGGAAGTGTCTACTCTTACCTCTAGTGACACCAGACTTAGTCTCAGAGCTCTATTACCCGTTTGTTACTATGAGATCAGAATGTATGCCGAAAACGCATTGGGAAGAAGTGACACCACTTCCTCCACAATAGTCTTTCAAACGGGGGAAGAGGTTCCCGGGGGTCCGCCCACTGATGTCATCATCGAAACCACTTCCTCCACTTCATTGAAGATCAAATGGAAACCTCCACTAAAAGAAGTTCAATTCGGAAAAATCAAAGGATATTATATTGGGTACAAAATAGCAGATTCTGACGAACCGTTTCAATATAAAAATGTGGACATTATCGGGGATAACGACTCGAATAAATTCGAGACCAGTTATGTGACAAACTTGAAGAGGAAGACCACGTATATACTGGTGGTTCAGGCGTACAACGGTGTGGGCGCCGGTCCTCGATCTGATGAGGTAGTGATTGCCACTCAAATCATTTTCCACACTATAATAGAAATGCTATGAAATGTAAATCTTTTCTCATAAATAATAATATTATTTCAATTTCGTTATAACTTGAGGTACGAGTGGTTACGTTTGACTCTCAGCCGCCAACCTCTCCACTGCTGGAAGTGATCGCCACTACTTCTGATTCAATTACTCTGAGATGGGATGCAAATCAAAATGATATCATCGAAGAGCGAGAATATGTATTGCATTTCAAAGAAGATCGCGAACAACAGTGGCATCAAAAGAAGTTGAGAACTAAATCTAATCAATATGTTTTAGATTCAAGCAATGGTTTAGTAAGCATTCGTTGCGGCACTAAATATAAACTATTTATGACGGCATCCAATAGTTTGGGAACCGGAGAACCGAGTAATCAAATCAATACTTATTTATTTTTAAAAAATAAACCCCAAATTAATTCACTATTTTTCCAAACGAAATGCATGTTTAGGTGAGACGATAAGCGCCAGAACTAAAGGCGCGGCACCGCTTTCGCCATCCACTCAGGAGTTTGTGATCCCAAACTCGACCGCATCTATGCTAAGGCTGAACAGCTGGCAGACGGGCGGCTGTCCTATCAAATCGTTTAGTTTCAAATACAAACCCATTTATCAAAAGAATTGGATTACATTATCAGATGAAGTCATCTTTGAAAAGGACTTCTACTTTATCCGTGATTTAGTGCCCAATAAAGAGTACAAACTTTTAGTAAGCGCTCATTCAGACGCAGGTATTTCTCATTTTGTTTTTTTATTAATAAAATAGTAATTTCTCATTGAATTGAATATTATTTGTCACGGAAGGTGTGACTGAAGCCGAGTACAGCTTCAAGACGTTAAACATATCGCTAATGGTTCGGGTGGTCTCACCGCAGGCACCGGTCGATGCCTCAGCTCAGGCCGAATCGTTATCGCTGTTCCGAAACATAACAGTTCTCTTACCCGTCATTATCTCAATCATCGTATTGTGTGTCATATTAGGCACACTATTGGGTTGTATGCGTCGACAGCACGTGAACCAAGTGGTGAATGGCATGAATGGACTCAATAGCAACAATTGTATCCATAAGACAGAGTTAAGACAATCGCAAGAGACGTTTCAATTGAATGACTTCCATGCCTCAGATTAAATGGTATTTGGATGACCACACCGTCAACGCTGTGACCAACAGATATCGTATCGGAGATTATGTCACACATGGAGGACAAGTGATTAGTTTTGTCAATATTAGTTCCGCACGTGTCATAGACGGCGGGGAAGTAAGTCTATTAACACTTTTGCTCTGCACATTAGTTTTATATTATTTAATATTTTCTTGAAATTGTTTTTATAATATTTTTTGTGTTTCCATTAAATAATGCAAATCTATTTCAATGTTTCTTTGTTAGCAAAACAATTGTACAAAACTATATTATTAGATGCAAACAATTTTCAATTTATATAACAAATTGGATTTTAAAACCTAATTTATATTCACTTTTATACTAAATATCCCTAAAAGTTTCCATTTCTCTCCCTTTCACTTATTCATGCATTTTTCATCCATTCTCTTACTATCGCTCGATATGAAGATTTTTGCACTTATTATCTCAACTATTAATTGCTTAAAAATAGTTTAAATATTTAATAATATGTCTTTTGTAAGAAACAGACATTTAATTTATTATTAATTATAAATAGCGTAGAGAAAGAAAGACAAAGAGAGTGTATGTGTGGTGCAGTTATAATGCAATTAATTTGTCTGATTTGTGATATGGTT